CTGAGTGAAACGGCTTACAGACTATTAGAGCACATGGACATTACAAATAATGGGATGAATATAATAAATCAAAGTTGCAAATATTTTTCAATATATAACAGTATAATTCAAGGAAGAAATACAACGTTCAAATGCATAATAACAATGATTTTAATAGGGATTCAAGCCTCTCCACCTCAGAAACAAGAGAAAAAAGAAGCCCCTGTATCAGTCCAGTCATCGCCCCTGCAGGGACAGAATGTACTCAGCTTCAGTCCTGCTCGACCCTCAAGCACCAGCCCCAAGTTTTCCCCCAGCTGTGTCTCTGGGTTCAGTCCACCTCTGAGCAGCCCTTCTTCAGCAGGAGGACCCTTTTCACCCTCCATGGCATTTGGCAAGGTTGAGTATTATGAAATGCTTCTTTAAAATTGTGTTGTCAATATTTTATTCTGTTCATGCACCCACTGCATTTCCCTTTCTACTTTTTATATCTGCAGGTGCTGAATTATAGTCCGAGTTCTTCTCCTTACCCAAGCAACCTCGGGCCGGCAGAAAGCACCAGTCTCCGTGCTCGTTACCGCACATCCCCATCCGTCTTTAATTCACCCGGGGGTAAGGAGGACTACATCGATGACCTAAAGACTTTGGAGAAGTTTTTGCGTACGGAGGAGGAGAAAAGCCACCGCAGTCAATTGGGTAAGAGGCCTGGATGCACATAAAGGTGTTGAATCAAACTGTAGCTGTTTTAAGACTTCGGCATTGCAATATTTTTTATTTAGGAAGTCCAGAGTCAACATCTCCAAGACACAGTCCATCGTTCTGGAACTACAGTCGTTCAGTGGGGGATTACGCACAGAGCCTGAGGAAGTTTCAATACCAGCCGGCCTGCCGTTCACAGGCTCCATCTGCCAATAAAGACGAGACAGAGCTGGGCTCCAAACAAGCTGCTGAAGAGGTGAGGATGAAAGTAATAGTAAAATTTCAAAGCATCTTTGTTTAAGGCTTTTGTTTATATTCATGTCAAAAAAAAAATCTTTAGTGTTTTAAAGTAAAGAGGATTTATTACAGGTCTGGGCAAGAATCACAACAAGTCGTGTGGTGACGGATAATATTGACAGCTGGACTGCTAAGCTGAGAAATGTGAGTCCGTCCATCCTAAATTTTGAAAAATTTCCATCCATCCATCCTAAATTGTCATTCATCTATCTATCCATCCAAAAGTTTCCATTCATCCTAAATTGTTTAAAATTTCCATCTTTCCATTCTGAATAGCCCAAAATTTCCATTTGTCAGTCCATCCTAAATTGTCCAAAATTTTCATCCATTTGTCCATCAGAAATTGTCCAAAATTTACATCCATCCATATAGTGTAACTATTTCCATCCTAAATTGTTCCAAATTTTAATCTATCCGTCCATCATAAATTGTCCAAATTTCCATCCATCCGATCATCCTAAATTGTCCAAAATTTCCATCCGTCCATCATAAATTGTCCAAAATTTCCATCTATTCATCATAAATTGTCCAAACTTTCCATCCTTCCATCATAAATTGTCCAAAATTTCCATCTATTCATCATAAATTGTCTAAAATGTACATCCATCCTTAATTGTAAAAAAAATCCATCAATCCGTCCATCCTAAATTGTCCAAAATTTTCATAAAACTGTCCATCATAAGTTGTCCAAATTTACATCCATTTGTCCATCATAAATTGTCCAACATTTGCGTCCATCCATATAGTGTAACTATTTCCATCCTAAATTGTCCAAATTTCCATCCATCTGTTCATCCTAAATTGTCCAAACTTTCCATCCGTCCATCCTAAATTGTCCAAAATTTACATCCGTCCATCATAAATTGTCTAAAATTTACATCCATCCTAAATTGTCAAAAAAAAAATCCAGCAATCGTCCACCATCAATTGTCCAAAATTTCCATCCTCTTTTTCTCTGTTGACTTATTGCAGTGGATAAATGACACCATTCTAGTTCATCTGGTCCGAGAGATGGACTCCGTCAACAGTCAGCTCAGGAGGATAGGCTGCCCTGAGCTACAGATCGGAGGTAATCATCTTTTCTTCCAAAGATGTTGAATTGTAAAAGTCTGAGCTTACTTCATTATGTCTCACTTCTGTTTTCCTTGTTTCATGAAGAGGCCAGTATCAGCAGTCTCAAACAGGCCGCCGTGGTCAAAGCCTCTGCAATTCCCACCCTCAATGCCATCGTACAGTATCTGGACGTCACGCCAAACCAGGAGTATCTTGTGGAGAGAATCAAGGGTGAGCTGAATACACAATTCACTGATATTATCAATTGAGCTTAAATATTCTAAATATTTCGACTTGACGTAGTCCAATATCATGAACGGGGATGATGCCCCTGTGTGTTCATCTGTGTATCACTGCTCTTGTCTTGCAGAACTAGCCCACAGTGGCTGCATGAGCTCTTTCCGCTGGAACGGAGGAGGAGATCTGAAAAACCGCAAATGGGACACAGACCTTCCGACAGACTCTGCTGTGTGTTCTTCCAAACAATTGCAGCATTTCATTGTTGCATTACCAATTTATTACAGTTTAGAGGAGATCAATAATATTTGTAATGATACAAATACACTTTACACAAACACTTCTGTGCTCATCAGATCCTGATGCATGTGCTGTGTACATACCTGGACTCACGGCTCCCGCCACATCCTAAGTATCCTGACGGAAAAACCTTTACGTCCCAGCATTTTGTACAGACACCAGATAAACCAGGTATATTCAGACAATGTGCTGCATTTTTAAAGAATAAGTGTTTTATTATACTTGTTCAACTAGCTTTAGTGTGTAATGTTGCTTTTTGAACATGAAAAGTTCTCCAAGTTCCAAAGCACAATGTCCCTCCAAAGGGAGTTCTTCTCTATATCAGTGTGCATTGAACTCCCTGAACTAATACTATTACAATATTATATTCACAATATATTACATATTATATATTAAATAATTCCTGCCCAAGGCATACACAAAAAAGGTGCAAGGCCTGGTTAAGTTAGTAGGGAGTTGAAACTTGCAGTTATGGTAAGATGTGGGACATTTCCCAAACATACTCAATCACAATACATTGGTCCAGCCGACCAATCAGAGCACATTGCACTTTTCAGAAGGAGGGCTTCACAGAGACAGAAACTAAACCTAGCTGTACTGACAGACTGGGAAGAGGTGCTGTGACAATGTAAAATGTGACATTTTTATGTGTGCATTTCTAACAGACGTGTCCAATGAGAACCTGTTCTGCATCCATCAAAGTAGCACAAACCCTCCTCATTTTCAGCTCGTCTACCAGGGACACGTCTACAGCTTACCCAAGGTGAGTTGATACTCTCCAACCATATTCACAGTGAAGAAACTCTTCTGTTCTTGTGACTTATGCTTTCTTCCCCCCCTCTCTCACAGGGCAGAAATAACTTGTTTCACACCATCCTCATGTTCCTCTACATTATCAAAACCAAGGAGTCTGGCATGCTGGGGTGAGTTTAGATCCATCATGTTATGTGTGATCTGCTTGGTTTTAAGGAATTTTATGGCTAGAAGTTGTTCTTATTTTGATTATGTAGTTGCATTGAAGTGTGAAATAGATGAAACCTTTTCCACACTTTTTTTTTCAGGAGAGTGAATCTCGGTCTATCAGGAGTGAATGTACTCTGGATCTTTGGGGAATGAGATGGTCATGTTTGCCGCTTGGAGGAAAACACTGCACAAGCCTTGAGATGTGATAGACTTTTTTAACCTTTACATTCTTGTGATGTTGAATGTTTTTGTGATGCATTGTACTTGCAAACTTGATGCAAATATAGATTAAGCACAGAAAGTCGTTTTAGCTGAAGAAAATGTTTTAAACTTTGACGCTGAGAGTCAAAACAGACCCTTGTTCCACTGGAAAGACAATGTAGTTCTACATGAATGTAAATTCTTCCAGGCTAGTCAGAGTGGTTGGCCACTGCAGGAGTTATGATTTTTAAAAAGTAGTTACTGGTAGTTTTTCTTCACCCTTTCTTTTCTGTATGAGTAAACACCTGTTACAACCATACAATCATAAGACAAATTTACTTTTGGTGTAATGATGTTTAATATCTTGCTCTCAATGAAGGGCTTTTCTTATTTCTCCTCACGATTACTTTGACAATGTACAGAAGAGCTTGGTGGATAGGTGATCCTGATCTTTAGTGCCAAATTACATAAGCAACAAGTGGTTATGTTTGTTTTTTCTATCGTGAAGTGAAACTTGAAATGAAATGAGCTTCCAATTTTGTCTTTGGTTTTCAATTTAATAAATGCCCAGCAATGTTTTTTATTTATCACTCTGTGTAGCCTTGAACTCTATTCCTTTGGTTTACCACTGGATGTTAGTGATGCACTCCTGCAGGTGATTATAAATGACAGGAACACAAGTATGTGCTATTTTTATAGTATTTGCAGCTTCACCAGTTCTATAACTGGAGTTTCCTAGAATTACAATGTAAAATTGCTTTATAATGTTAATGCATAAGGTGTGAGAGAATATTATAAGTATTTTAAGAAGCCTCCCAACAGTGGTTAAACTGTTCCAAACCTGGTACAACCATGCTATACTTTTAATTAGTACATTATATGGTAATACCATGGTACTTAATAATTAACTTGTAAATACCATGGTACATTAACATAGTAATTACTTTAGTACCATGGTATTACCATATGATGTAGTACTACACTTCTACAGCACTTTTGTAAATGCAAAGTAATGTTTGCCAGAGTGTGGTATCTTATAGATCATATAATAATAAAACTTTTAATGGTAAATAGGTATAATAAGTCTTAGAAGTATAATACTAATATATATTTTATTATAAGATGATTATATAATGTCGTTTTTGAAAGATTTCTGTTACAAAGTTTAAGTTAAGAAGTCAATCTCCTGGAAAAAAAAATCATTATTACTGTAGTTCGTGCATTATTATTAACCATGCGCAACGTTATGCGTAGTAGACGCTATGGTAACGTGAACTTCATGTCCCATGGTGCTTAGCGCCGAGCGTCATCCCACCGTGCGTATCCGTTCGTGTGTCGCTTCTCTCTGTATTGGAAAAAGAAGCACCGTGCGGTTCGCAGCGATGTCAGTCCAGGCTGTGGCAGTGAAAATGGCCGAGGTCGAATTAAAAGACGTGGCCGGTAAAGACTCTCTCCCCACCATATCTCCACTGACACCCAAGGCAGAGGAGAAGAAGAGTGAAAATAACTCAACTTCGTCACCAGCAGCAGCGGCCACGACGGGGGATCCGAGCCCGGTGACCGCCGCTCCGAACCCCGTGAAGATGCCGCAGGCGTCCGCGATGAAGCGGCCGGACCAGCAACAGAACGGTGGCGATGCGTTTGTCAACTGCGACGGCACCGTGGCCGAGGCACCGCGAATGAAAAAGGTAAGTTAACGTGAACTGTTATGGAGCTCGTTTTGTACCGTTCATCCGCTGCCGTGTGTCGTTGTGCGGCTATAATTCTGGCCTATCGGACCTAAACTAGCAAGGTAACAGCTGTAAATTCACATCAATTTTACCTCATAGCTGTCAGAGGATGCTCATTGACAGATCTACTGAGTACTTTCCCTTGGTTTTTGATCTGATCACGTTGATTTTGAGCGCGTGAGTGATTGTTTCTAATGATTGAAAGACCCGCAGTGCGTGTGTCGTGGCGCTGCATGCGTTTTATCCGGGGCAAAACATTCAGGTCCCAAACATACGGTGTAAAACACTTCTATAATAACTTTAAAAATTAGGTCAGTCGCAAACATTGGGTAATGTTTTAACGTTAGATAAGTCTCAGCAGGAATGTAGCCATTTCATTTTTTGTTGCGCTTTAAAGGTATTGTTTGATAGAAGCCATATTTAATGTAATGATGTTTGTTATGAGTGATTTTGACGTGTTACCCAAGTTTCTTTATTAAAGTATACTAGTGATATGGTTATTTCCTATTAATAAAATCACTGTGGGGTATTTATCTTGTATGTTGTGATTAGCTATGAATTGATTTTGCTGTTGGTTATAATTAAAAACTGTTGTCTTATGCTACATTACTCAGTGCTTTCTCTGTCGATGTTTGGCATGTAAACATAAATAGCTAGTTTGCTTTTCACTTTCAAAGAGGAGAAAGGTATTGTTTGAGTGTATGCAAGTCAGTTTTGTGGCATTTGTTGAAGTTAAGAATACTGGAGCAAGGCCATTAAAATGGTCGATGTTTGAGTTTTCTATTATGATTAGGTTGATTTGTCCATGTGTCCTCATTGGCATGGCATCATGCCAATCTGCCATTTGACTGTCTGAAATAAAGAAATGCAATTTCTGTTCCCAGTTCAAAAGCAATGTCAGACTTTGTCTCTCTTCAAACATGGGCTACTTTTGGTTCTCTTTAATTGCATAGTGTGATATTATAACTTCAGAAATGTCAGTCTTCTATTATGTGTCAGTGGGAATGTGGGTATGTGTTCGCCGGTTCTCTTAGATTTTACTCTTATCTGCCTTGGCCGTTCCTTGAAAGGATTTAGAGCAGACTGTTCTCTTAATGAATCTCTTATCAATAAAAGAATATCTTTATTATCTTATCTTAGCTGGCAAACAGAAGATGGTGTACAGTTCAAGGATAAAGTTTTTGATAAAGAAAAAATATTTAGCCAAGGATTTGATGCAGAAATAGCCATAACATGACATAAGAATGGCAAATGTGGTCTTTATATTCATTATATATTCATCCCATTTTTTATTTGAAAAAAAAAAAAAAATCCTAAAATCTTCTGAAGATACACTCTCCAAAATAAACATAATAATCACTGCAATATTATAGACTATTAACTATTTGTCTATTTAAATCCCAACAGCGACTTGTTTTTTGCCCAAACAAAGTGCACACTGTTGGCTGAATATCAACTGTGATATTAGAAGTTTCCTATAAGTATAAACTGGACAGTGACTGATGATAAACCATAGCATGTTTAGATGATCTGAAGAGAGACTCTTATGCCTCTCATTTATCCTAAATGTGCTGGCGTGATGCCAGTGCACTGACTTTATCTGCCCTGTTTCTAAGAAGAAGAAAAAACGTAAAGCATGCTTGCTGTTCCCCCATAAATGTGCTACGTCACAACACTGTAGCTTGTGTAAAGTGGCGAGATGAGGGGGAGGGCAGTGACATGTCTCTCTAATCCATGCCTGTCTGTCACCACATCATGTAGGTGCAAATGGCCTGTAGTTGGACTCAGGATCGTTGTGATCTCGGTGAAAATTCACACGACTGGATTTGAGGGTGTTGAGGGGAAACGGGGTGCTAATAGCTGGTGTTACTCTGGCATCAGGCTTGAGATTTGTGCATACCTTGCACTGTTGTGAGTGACGTTATGTCACTAAGCTATGGTTCCCAGGATGCTTAGACCTAACAGGCTTAATACGTGATGCAGATATGGGGGAAGCCCTGTACGTGACTGTTACGTGTGGTACAAACTGGGGGAATGTTCCAGTAAGTTATATATAGGTGATTTATTTATAGAGTAGGATTAGTTACAGTTAATAGTATGCAATGGTGTAGCCTTAATAAGGTTTGTGATTAGATTCAGACTGATGAGATAAGGGAAAGTTGTGTTTCAGAGCGATGCAGACCATTTTCCATTTGACCTGTGATTTTCACAGAAAGTAGGCCTCATGTGTATCATATATAGCCTACCGGTCAAGATGGGGCTTGTGGAGACCGGCTGCTGCTACTTTCTTCAGCTAAGCGGTGTTGCTATTGTTAGCCAAAAGTATTCAAATAGTTTTTGTTCATTGAAATAAAGATATTACCCTAAATGTAAGGGTTACTCTTTATTTTTAGATATCCTTGTAATGAGTAATATTAATTTAAAACAAGTACACTATAGCGTTTCGAATATTCAAACGAATCATCTTTGAGAAATGAGGTCGGTGATGTGCGGTGTATATTATGAGAAAATAAAAAGTGTTTTTTGACCTTGGATGCATGCAAACGTATCGGTGGAGACTCAAACTACTCCATTCCAGTTTGCTCCTCATCATTGCTCACAGGACGTGTCCTGAGATTTCAGCGCGCAGTTGACAGGAAAATATTTCTCACTATGGTGTGAAGTTTGGAGACTGATAAATGGTGGAATGGAACCTGGGAGACATACACGTTGAACCTGCACCTTCTGCACTCCTAACTTGGATTCATGTGAGAATGATAGCATGCCTCCAGCGAGGCTTGTTTATGCTACTTACTTATTGTCTTTTAAGAGCTTAAGAAAAAACACCACACTTGTGATTAAACAGACGTGCTCTCAGGTAAGTGGCGTTTACATGCTGGTCATGGAGGCTGAAGCTTTGTACATTGAACTGCATGTTTTGAGCAGAATACTGATAACGGTGCGCTCACTGAATCATCTTCTCTTGCTCTCAAACACTCACCCATGAGTTGGTGTCCGTGGCATCAACCCTAATGGTGCACTTCAACCGGGACCAGCTAACACTTTAAAGGGCACAGCTGAGAGTTTTTTTCCTCAGGCTGCCCTAACCACACCGCAGCAGGATTCGTTCACCTGAAATCACCCAGAGTCTTCTCAAGTGCCTTAATGAGGCTGTGTATTGCGGAGGCAACGGTGAGAGCCAGCCAGCCAAACAAATACAACTGTGCCAGCTCACTGCTGCTTCTGCAGGAGAATGTGGAACAGATTTCTCTCTCCCGCTTTTACTTTCTCTGTCTCTCCTGTTCTTTTTTGTGCATATCAGGGCTTTACATGTGTTCCAGAGATGAAAAATTTAGGAGCACAAAGAACAATTAAAATAGTGTTTTATGCACATCACAACACATGCTAAAATGATATATCGTGCAGTTCTTGTCTACTTTAAACTGTGTGTGTGCAATGTGCATAAACAGATTTTGTCAATACTAGCAAAATCCATATATTGAATGTGCTATAGTCCCCATGAAATCAAAATAGACATTTCCTATTTTTTGTTGAACATTCCCATATTTATTATCAATGCGTTATTCAATATCTATGCACATTCTTATAATTTTGTGTTCATGTTCCTCGTAAAATTTCATTTAAAAATTCTTCCCTCTTGCAGCACCTTCGCTTTTCTGATGATGTGTTAACTGGCGTGATGGCGGGGGATCCTTTCACTCACATGAGATCCAGTCCAACCATCCAGTCAATATCCCCTTTGGTCCCAATTCTCCCACAAAATCAAGTCCTATCCTACATTTTTTTTCTTGTTCAAAAAGCCGTTTTACATGCGTCAAAATGTTACAATAAAAAAAAAACATCAATTGAACATTGTCATAATTCATCAACAGTAGATAATAAGCAATGAACTGTCGGGTCTTTCGAACGCGCAACAGCGTAGTGTTTTGACTTGAAACATGCAGTGCTCACTTTTAATTAAATACCTGCCTTTTTAAGACCTCTTAAAATGTCAATTTAGATATTTGATGTACCGTTTAAGTTATTTAAAACTTTGAATGGCCTTCATTTCATAAATTAAGCACATTTCCATGACCCGCAGGGATATTTTATAATCCACACGTGCTCCTAAAAACATTTTACAATTTGCACACACACATTTTTATTCACAAAATGCTAGTGAAACGGTCAAGCACTGGGTACAAACATTTTGTTTTAATTTCTCAGATTGTGCATTTGGAGATGTGCAACCATATGTTGCTTCCATTTCCCAGCAAACCTGCATAAGAGAAAACAGTTTCTGGCTTGATGAGCCGATGGAGCTAAATCCGTGTCTTGATGTCATGCTTTTTGCTTTAGAATAGCAGGGCTAGAAAAGTCAAAATAGGCATCATGGAAGCAAATCTTTTGGAGGCAGCCAGCTGTTGTCTGATTGTAGGAACACCAGGTCCAAGCTGCGTACATGGCAGTTGGTTATTTATTCTTGCTTTTTGCTTAACAGTATACGGTAAGCTTTACTTTAGAGAGATTGTGAAATAAAATCCAGTAAGAACATTTTAATCCCAATGGTTTATACATTTGCTCACTGAATGAATTCAGATTTGCAACGTTGTTGAACTAAGGAGTAAATTTGCATCAATTGTGCAAGTGAAACATTAAGCCACCAGTCAGGCGTTAGCCAGGAATGTGAATGAATGAACAAAAGCTTCTCCATTGACCAAATTTGCTTTCAGTTCACAAGTGATGAGACGACTCGATTGATTTATACTGCTGAAGTTAAGTAGATGATTTCTGATGGTGTCCACATTGGCCTGCTATGCAAAGGGCCTCAGGTTTTTCAATTAGTTGACCATGGAATGGACACACATGCAGGATCCTCGGCTAAAGAATGTACCCTAGACCCCTGCACAGCCCCTCACAAAGGCCCTTCATTGTGTTCAAAAACTGCTGCATCACAAAAGACTCTCACAAAAGAGTAA